AGAGAGAGAGAGAGAGAGAGAGAGAGAGAGAGAGAGAGAGAGAGAGATGGATGTAGCCCTTATAGAGCGAGTTCTTGTCGGATCGCGACGCGTTGACGTTTGGCGCGCACTTGCGGTGTATGTTGACAATTACACGGCCATCTTGATAATCGATCTTTCCGAATCGAGCAACCGCCATGAACACATCCATCGACATCGTTCCGCGTTTTACGCGTCTTTTCTTTGTCGAAAGTGAATCTCGCGTGTAAATAAGTAATCGGAAGCACTGAAATAACGATGTGCGATCATCGGGACTTATGGTAAGTATCTTATTAGGGAGTAATCTCCTCTTTTCTCGATATACACAGCCAGTGCTTGTCGTGACATATCGTCGACTCAGCATATCTTTCTTATTATATTATCTTTGTTACTATTATAATCTTACTTAAGCAGTAATAGAATCGGGCGATTGTTGAACTTATTAATTAGAAATACAGTGGTAATAAGAGGGGGATAGATAAATAATATGGCATTATAGATATACGTGACGCCGAATCTCGGGAGATCTGTCTATTAGTAAAGGATACATAAATACAACAGCATATTCGTATGTTAGTTACGCATTCGCATCGAACGATCGAAATATTGCATTCAGATATTGAATCAGATTATTACCGGCATCGCATTATTTAATATGCGTTTTTCAGGTCGAATTGTATTTACGTGGATATCATCAGCATCAGCATCAATACCGGTATCAGAGCCACAGCCAGAAGCCAGGATATTGTATCAGGAAGGAAGGATAAAGACATGACGACGGAACATAAATTTCTAGGTATTTCAAGTCACTTATTATATAGAAGGTTTCCAATTTTAACACGTTGAATGCTGATATGTGATTGGTGATATGATATTATTGCATCTCGCATTAAATTACATGTAAAATATAATTGATTATATTTGAAAAATTGGTTTTGCAATCAATGAAGAGACAGTGAAATGAGATAAAATGTATATATGCGGTAAGAATTACATTTATTTACCATATATTTGGCAATTTAATGAGAGATTTCTGTTGAATTTTTATACAGTTAATAAAAATCAACACGGTAGTTAATGTGTTAGCAAATATTTGATGAATTTATTTAAGAAAATATCTTTCTTTCGAGTCGAAATTTAAGTCGACATTTATAATCTGTCATTATTTAGGCAATAATTATATCTTCATAAATCTCTGATTATTCAACTTGTACTTGTCCTATTCCATAAGGCAAAATATATTGATCCAAATAACCAAATAACAGTCCATAAACACGAATTAGTATTTAATTATACTCTCAATCTAAGATTATAAGTAATTTACAACTGTGAATACCAATCTTGAAATTTAAGTCTTAAGTATCAATTTTTATATTTTATAATGACACAAAGAATTCAAACTTAAATTTGCCAATGTCTTCTTCTTTGACTACTATTCAACTTTGTTATTGTAACCAATTTAAATTTAAATCTTTATTGGTACACAACTTTATTATATAATCATATGATATATCATATATCATGCAACTATTATCTTTATCTTTCCAATTTATTTTCTCATTTTTTTTAAATCTCCACATTTTATCAAAATTTCTAACGTTAATAAAAGAAAGAGAATAATAAGGAAAAGATTATAAGAGTGGATATAGATAGTTTATTTCAACATTTACCCATATTAAATATATAACATATGGTTATTTCATAAATTTTATATATTTAGAGCTGAGTAAATTATGTAATTAATACATTGTTGGTTGAAATTGAGGATAAAGATTAAATGCAAGTTGGAGATATAATACCTATCATATCTCTTATCTTGCTTTAATTCTTATTTATTTCAATCAGCAATGTGTTAATTATATACTTACTCAGCTATAGATAGAATACATATAAGATTATCAAATATTATATACTTGACATAAGTATAAAGACTGAAATAAACTATTTGTATTCATTTCCAATTCTTCCTTTATTATTTTCTTTTTTTGTTAGTGCTGGAAATTTTGATAAAACATGGAGATTTAAAATTAGATGGAAAAGAATAAGTTGTAAAGACAAAGACAACAGTTGTGTATAGGTTTAAATACAGAGATCTCTATTGAGATATAATCAAATATTAATATCAAATATTAATCATATAATGAGTTCTCTATTAAGACTCCAAGACAACAAATAGTTACAAATAGTAACATGAAGATAGGACAATAGTTTGTATTACTATAGAGATTCTGCATAAGTTCTTCAAGTTAGAAATTTGCAGAGTTAATACAGAACTGAATGGCTAACTCGGGAAATTTATACAATATTGATTCAGTTTCCATATAAGGGAGATCTAGGTTACCTATTTCTACTGCATGTGTTTGCGTAATTGCTAGTTTAACAATAAATAAAACGATTTTTGCTTCCCTGTTGCAAATATATACTAATTGCTAGCAATTAATACGAAACGCAGTATTTTGCGATTCG